AAAGGCTTTAAATCTTTAGTAGGGCAGATAGATAATCACATTTTTTCTCGCAGGGTGGCTTGGTGGACACCGCTGAACTTTAGGTTGGCAGCAAAGCGCTTAATAACTCGGCCATCATAGATGCTTAAAACGAGTTACGACCCACTTATATTTTAACTAAAAGATTACTCACAATAGTTTGTTTACATATGCATTCTATTAAAACCTTCCGTATACTCGTTTTATTTACACCCATTTCTTTCTAACAAGCTCATATCATACATCCTTAGAGCCCATCTGTAATTAAAACGAACTCCTCTGCTTGGTATTTCATTGAACACTTAACAGAAATTAAAATTTGATAATCAATGTCTTTAATAAAGTCTGGAGCACGATTTCTGCTTACAGTATTAACTCTCACTTCCATCCCCCTCTTCCCCCTAAATCGTATGCTTTGGTCCTAGGGTGGTAACTGTGTCCACGAGCAGAGACCTAGTACAGACTGGGTACAGTAAGATGGCAAGGTAAGGTGCCCCTCACTCCGCTGATGTTTAATGTTTCAAGTTCTGCACCCTTAGAGATGTTTTAATAAGAAGGTAAGAGAAATGCATCTGCACGACAGATGTAATCTTGCACATCCTTTGCGCTAAATAAAATAGGTGGTTTCTGGGATGGGGGAGGGATGATCAAACAGACACCACACCACTTAAAGCCCTAGAGAAAGGGCGGAAGTACGCTGGAAGGGAGGGAGATTTAAAAAACGTGCGCAGAAAAAGGAACAAGGAACACAAAGGGTGGAGAGGGGCACCGCCTACCTCCCCGTTAGAACCTGGGTGCAGGAGGAATCAAGCCCAGAGGGTTCCTAAAGGTGGGAAGCCGCAGCCGCGGGAAAACAACCGCCGCGCATGCCGGGAGCCCAGCCCCACTGTACCCTGGGTCGTGTAGTCTCCAAGGCCTCACTCCAGATTGTAGTCAAACGCCACCGACTGCGGCTCCTTTTAAGGCTTACAGGGGCCACGCTAGATTCAGAGGATGAGAACAAAATCGCTACCGCTGAGCCTAGTGACTAGGGCTAAGAGTCCTCCTCCCTGTGGGAAGGACGGGAGAAAGCAGTTGCCACCTCTTAAGTCCCTAACGCGGAGTCGGTCTTGACAGTACTGCCTGCCCCTTTAAGAAGGGGCGGGGAGCAGCCTGCCGTTTGGTCGCCCTCTGCACCCTGCCCCCCAGCCCAGACTTGACAGACCAATCACTGGGGGGACACAGGGAAGGCGGGAGAATGCGAACCCTTCTATAGAGCGGTAGGGGCGGTCCCCGACCCATATTAGGAATGAGTCCTGCGCATGCGCAGAGGTGGCTGCGGGTGAAGGGGCGGGGGCAGTCCAGTGAGAGACTCCCCGACGAGCACGGAGGGTGATTGGAGAGAAAGCGAGTAGCGAGTGGCTTGTCATAGGGATCTGGATTACGAGACAGCATCGGTAGCATCTGGGGACTCTAAAGGGAACAGGAAGTATCAACGTCCAGGACTCCAGCGCCAGCTCCGCTGGGGGGATCCCCGCTGCTTTAGTCCTGGGGAAGGAGGAGAGAAAGGAGGGAGCATTGATCTCGCCCCGCCCCTGGGCTTGTTACCGCGGGGGCGGGGAGTGAGGGCTTCTTTTTGGGGGAGTGGAGATCGGGGACTCGGCTGTGCCCTTTTGAGGGGCTGCCAGTGTCCCCCCGGTGCCGGACTGCTGAGCGGAGGATCCGCGGCGGCTGTCGCTGGTGCATGTGTGGCTGCTGGATGCGGAGGCGGCGGCGGCGGCGGCGGCGAGGAGCAGCAGTGGCGGCAGGATGTTAGGGCAGCAGCAGCAACTGTACTCGTCGGCCGCACTCCTGACCGGGGAGCGGAGCCGGCTTCTCACCTGCTACGTGCAGGACTACCTCGAGTGTGTAGAGTCGCTACCCCACGACATGCAGAGGAACGTGTCTGTGCTGCGAGAGCTGGACAACAAATACCAAGGTAAGGGGCCTCGGAGCTGACGATGCGGGTCCTTCCCTTCGCAGGGGTCGACTGACCTCCGGGCGCGATCGCTCGAAGGCTGCCCGGAAAAGTGCAACTTTCCCTTTCTCCGGTGACAGTCCCTCCGTGTGTACAGTCGGGGTCTGGTGTGTGGGAAGGGGAACTGGGACTGGTGACCGAGTTCGTGGCCCTCCCTTCCCCTGGTGCCGATCGGCGTGGACTTCTCTAGGGTCTCGAGGGTGGGGGTGGAGGGCGCTAGTAAACCCCGGCTGCAGATACACGGGCTGCAGCTGCTCTGGAGGGGAATCAGCCATTTTAAGCACCAGGCATTTTATTTATTCAGACACTTGCCTGCCCCGTGCCGCAAACCTTCCTGCCCCGGAGAGGGAGTGTGCAGTCAGGCTCGATAGCTGTAGAGAGGGAGCGGGAGGGCCACTCAGAGCGGGCCCCTGCTAATGACCATGGACTGACTTTCTCAGTCCCCGACCCCGACCCCCACCTCCAGAGAGCCGCGGAACGGGCCGCGGGGCGGGAGCAAGGGAGGGCCGCGAAGGCGGACCGAGGAGCTCTGTCCTTCCACTGCTCTGTTCTCTGGCCCCCGACTTGTGGAGGGAGAAATCTGTTCCTCTCTCTCCCCTCAAGGAAAGTTCCAGGCTGCCCCGTGCCGCAGCCTTTCCCAGCTCCTTCAATCAAATGGTTAAAAGGGGAGGGGTCTCCCCCCTTTCCCGCAAGGGAAAGGACTTGGGGTGTGCGTGCGTGTGTGTGTGTGTGGCGGGGAGGGCCTCCTTGCCCCCTGTGGGCGGGGCCTGCGGTAGTGACGTAGTGATGGGCGGGGCGTAGGCTCGCGCTCCCGCTGACCATGAAAATGGCTGGTCACTGGAGGTCCTAGGCGAAGCTGGTTGGCTGGGAAGGTATAGAAGACCCCATTCCCCTGTGTCTGAGCAAAATCAGTGTTGGATGTTAGAACATGTTTTGATCTTTCAACTCTTCTTCCTAACCGCTGAACCACAAGGGGGACACAGTTGCGGGGACCGCCACTGACCCTAGTACCGTGTTAGATCCGGGCTGTGCGTCACTTCCGGGTATCTATAGGAAATGAGTTGGTTGGCTGGGCAACCGCTTGGCGTCCCTTCACGGGTTGAACACACCTACAGCGAGTTCAAGTGTTGAGACTAAAACCACTATTTGTGATCAGACTCAAGAGGCTGGCAGAGCGAACCAACCTGCCGTTTTTTAATTCACTCTTGATGGCCCCGTTGCCTGGTACTAGGAGAGAAGTTTAAATGCGGAGCTGCTAAATTTTTCATTTAATCCTATCTCTAGAACTGAACTTTAGCGCTCGTTACAGACTTTTTAATCTCTCAAAGCCTAAATTACTGGCTTGTGTAGTGTAGTTAGACATCTCTTAAGTTTTTGGATCCATAACTTATTTCTGGCTTCTGAACTCATAGGTGCTAGAATTGATCTCTCTTAGGAGACAAGGAAATTATTAGTTTAGTAATACCTGTTCCTGCACCAGATCCAGAATATTATCTCATTTACTGCTCACAGTAAAGCTATGAAGTAAAATCCAGAGATAATTAGATTTACAAAGAAGTTAGGTAACTTTCCCAATTAATTAAGAGGAGGATTACTTCAAAGTTTGGCTGCTGCTTTAGGTGCACATCCTTGTTTTTAAGCTGTTTAAACATTTCTTTAAATAACCAAAGATAAATATCTTTTACGTACGTGGAAAACATATTTCAATGGGAACTCAAGAATGTTATTTATGTGCTTAGAATTGTATGTTGAACACTTAACTTTTCAAATGATAACTGAACGATTATAAAGCTTAGAAGAGTTTACATTTCTTTAAAGCCACACGTTTGGCTTCACAAAATTGAAGGTTTTTTTTTTTTTTTAAATTTTAAATTGGAGAGAATCAGTACTATTTGACAGAAGAATCAGCCATTTTGACATCCAGAACTGTCATAAGTAGCATTAGTAACATGACAAGTAATAGCAGGCTTTACAAAACTGAGAAATTATAATAATCTCAGCTCCATTAATTAATTGTTTATTCAGGTGATTTTAAGAGTAATACAGAAACAATAGAAGAGAAAAATTCACTCTTAAGCACATCATGCTTATTTCGTGGTTCAACTTTCAGATTTATTATAAAATATTCTTTTATGTCCTTGGTCCAGGCTTCTTACAACTATTATTTCTTTGTTAGTTCTTAAGAATTTTCTGTATTTGGATCAAATACTTACAGCAATATGGAAACTTAAATATAACATAGAAATTTATATTATAA